TTTATTAGTTTAATCAGTAAAGGATCTGTTACCAGTATATGATTGTCGATACGATTGTAATAGGTGTAGAGCTGCAGTAAAATATGTGTTTTTCACAGTTCAATGGATCTTCTTTTATGTATGCACACTTCTGTTTTACTATGTAATAATAAAAACATCTTCGTGTATGTCATTAGTTAAAATTGATCCATGTGTACTTTTATTGCATATCTTCACGCTAAAGAACTGCCAACATATATTAAATAAAATTCTTTTTCTTAAAATATATTATAACTTTGCCGAATAATCAATAGCCATGATGAACGAATATCTAGAGACGGAGAGCATGTTCTGAATGTGTCCCAATACAACTCGTACAATTTCAGGTCTGTCACCGTCTGTACAATATTGATAAAGTTAGGCCCATTCGATGCGCTTTTGTACAAAAAAACGACCGAATCTGACAGAAACAATCGTCGGAAATTAAATTCAATTATAATTTTTAATTTTTAAATTAAATTAAATATTGTTTTTAAATAGTATCGTTTTTAATATCATTATTAAGCATGTATTTCAAAATTCACTTCCAATACTAAAATCTATATTATTATCTATATTATAATTGGAATTATTCCTTGTTTGCAGATATTTTAAAAATGAAGGAACCTTCAATATTTCAATCCAGAAATTAAAGAAACTAAAAATAAATTGCCAATTGGCAATTTATTTTTAGTTTCCAATGGAAGGTCATAAAAATATTGATTAAATATTGATGAATGATTTAATGCAAAAAAATATTTATTTCTATTAATTTGCATATTTTCATTGCAAGGTACCTATGAAATAGAAGAAAAAATGGAGGAAAAAGAAAAAGGCTTAAAAAAGAAATGATAAATGGTAAATTGACACTCGGAAATGACAGGAACATGAAGAACGAGTTGTTGTGGCGATATTCGGATGCAAATTGGGCAAAAGGTAAAGGACAGAAAATCCAACAGTGATTATACTTTATTCGTTAACGGGGAATTGGTCAGCTGGGCAAGCCGCAAGCAAAGTGTAGTAGCACTTTCTATGGAAGAGGAGTTCATTGCACTATCAGAAGCGTGCAAAGAAATTGTTTAACTTAAATGATTATCAAGCGACATGCAGCAAACAGCGTGTGGATTTACGAAAATAATCAAAGCTGCTTTAAATTGTGGAAACTGAAAGTCTGACAAATCAAAATAAACACAATGATACGAAGATCAAGTTTACAAGAGATTACGTTAATAATTGCCTGTGAATACTGCTCAACTGAAAAAATGATTGCTGATCTGTTAACAAAGTCATTGACAGCTCAAAGATTAGAGAAACTTAGGAGGAAACTTATTCTAACTCAATAAAATGAGGAAGAGTGTTGGACAATATTAGATTAAGCATTTTAATGGTTTAATGAATAAAGGATCTTACCAGCATATGTTTGTCGGTAATGTAGATGTAGCGCTGCAGTAGAGTATGTGTTTTTGACGGTTTAATGGATGTTTTTTTATGTATGCACATTTTTGTTTTATTATGTAATAATAACAATATTTTCGTGTATGTCATTAGCTAAAATTGATTCATGTGTACTTTTATTGCATACCTTCACACTAAAGAACTGCCAATATATATAAAGTTTTCTTAAAATATATTAGAATAACATTGCCGAATAAGCAACAGCCATGGACGAATATCTAGAGATGGAGAGTGTGTTCTGAATGTCTCAATACAACTCGTACAATTTCAGGTGTTAAGGCATACCTGTCACCGTCTGTACAATATTGATAAAATTAGGCCCATTCGATTTTTGTACAAAAAAACGACCGAATCTGATAGAAACAACGATAGAAAAACTCGTCGGGAGTTAAATTCAATTATCGATTTTAAATATTGTTTTAAAATATTAATGTCATTATTAAGCATTTCAAGATTCACTTCCAATATTGAAAATCTGTATAATTGGAATTATTCCTTGTTTGCAGGACATTTTAGAAATGAAGGAACCAAAATCTGTCGAAACTAGAGGAAATAGAAAAAGAAAAATAAATTGTTGGCAATTTCAGTAGATTATAAAAATATTGATTAAATGTAAAATTATTTAATGCAAAAAAATATTTATTTCTATTAATTTGAATATTTCTATTAATTTGAATATTTGAAAACATATAAAATAGAAAAAGAGAAAGGAAGAAAAAAGGATTAGAAAAGGTAAGATATAATTTATAATTATTATTAAATTTAAGACAGCTTTGATTATCTTCATAAATCGTATTGACCCACACGCTATTTGCTGTATGCCGCTTAATAATCATTTAAACCAAACAACTTCTTTGCACGCTTCTGATAGTGCAATGAACTCCGCTTCCATGGTGGAAAATGCTTTTATTTTTCTCAAACAACTTCTCCAGAGGGACATCCCCTCTGGGATAATACAAGATATAAGCTAAGCCGCACGCATAAGTTATATACTACTGTGATAAAAAAATAAGGTGAAATTGTTTATAATTTTTAAAATCTTTATTTATTCTTCTAAATCTATTTCATCGCCTTCAAAGTACTTCCCTCTGGATACAATACACTTTTGCCAACGTTTTTTTCCAATCCTCGAAACAATTGTTAAAGTTGATTTTCGGAATGACCTTCAAAACGCGCAGCGATTCGGTTTTTATCTCCTCCAATCGTGTCGAAACGGTATCCCCGGAGCGGTCTCTTGAGCTTAGGGAATAGCCAGAAGTCACACGGTGCTAAATCAGGCGAATACGGTGGTTATAGAACGATATGAGTTGAATTTTTGGCGAAATGATCTCGAAGAATCAATGCAGTGTGAGATGGTGCATTATCGTGGTGCAAAAACCAAGAATTGTCTGCCCATAATTCTGATCTCTTTTTGCGAATAGCTTCACGTAAACGTTGCATAACGCTCAAATAATATTCCTTGTTAATACTTTGGCTCGGCACTAGGAATTCATAATGCACTACATCATGATAATCGAAGAAAACTGTTAACATGACCTTGATTTTTAAACGACTCTGGTGCGATCTTTTCGGTCTTGACTCATCTTTTGCACGGTATTGGCTTGATTGGTCGGTTGTTTTCGGGTCGAATGCATAGATCCAAGTCTCATCTCCAGTTATTATGCATTCCATCTTATCCTGATATTCAGAAAGCATTGTTTCACAGACTTTAACGCGACGCTGTATTTCCAAAAAATTGAGTGTTATTGACACCAAACGAGATTTCACTTTTTTCAGGCACAAAACATCTTTCAAAATAGTCTGGACTGATCCAAATGAAATGTTAACAGTATCAGCGAGGTCTCTATTTGTCGATCGATGATTTTTGAACATCAAATCTTTCATTCACGTGTTGTTCATCATGATGAGTTGATGTTAATGGTCATCCAGAGCGATTTTCGTCTTCAACGCTTTCTCTGCCTTCTTTGAATTGTTTATATCTTGTAAACATTTTTTTGTGACATAGCCTGGTCACAGGCCGAAGGCCTTTTGCAACATTCTCAATGTTTCTGCAGCAGAAATTTCATTCCGCAAACAAAATTTAATGCAACTTCTTTGCTCAACAAAATTAGACATTGTAAAAATCGCTAAATTAACTTTTTGTTGTTCCACGCGTAACTATTAGACAAATGCAGGTATTGACATGAAGTTTGGCACAGATGTCACAGTGCTGCCTAAAAAAAAGATTTGTCAGAATCGAAGAGCGCGAGTATTTTAAATTAAAAATTTCTTTTTGATCACAATAGTACGAGGTGTGTTAAAAAAAAAGATGACTTTTTATTTTTCTCGAAAAATATTTATTTATTCATCACTATCTATTTTGTCCCCTTCAAAGTAATCCCCCTCAGATATTATACACTTGTGCCAGCGCTTTTTCCATTCCTCGAAGCACTTCTGATATGCGCTTTTTGATATGGCTTTGAGCTCTTCCAGCGATGTGGTTTTTATCTCCTCAATCGTGGCAAATCTCCGTCCTTTCATGGATCTTTTCAGTTTTGGGAACAAGAAAAAGTCGCAGAGGACCGAGGCATGATTATGATGTTGTTTTTGGCCAAAAAAATTACGAACAAGCAACGACGTGTGAGCTGGCGCATTATCGTGGTGCAACATCCATGACTAGTTGTTCCACAATTCCGGGCGTTTTTTTCGTATTGCTTCACGCAAACGGCGCATAACTTCAAGGTAATATTCCTTAATGACCGTACCTTGTGGCAAGAACTTACGATGCACCGCGCCATTGTAATCGAAGAAAACAGTGAACAAAACCTTCACACTTGACCTAACTTGGCGTGCTTTTTTCGGTCTTGACTCTTCTGGCCGCTTCCATTGGGATGATTGGGCTTTGATTTCGACGTCATAACCACATACCCATGTTTCGTCACCAGTTATGATCCTTTTGAGCAAATCTGGATTGTCGTTGACGTCATTCAAGCTCCTGAGCGACGCTTATGCGACAGTTCTTTTGGTTAAAATTTAGCAATTTCGGAACAAACTTCGCTGCACGTTTCATGCCCAAAACATCCGAAAAAATTGCATGGCATGCCACAGTGACAGAGCACATGAGGTAAGGTTTCCGCCTCATCGCATCGCCGACAGCTTGTCATTAGCCTCCCAACGTCGTGTGCCAAAGGAGAACATCCAATCGGGCCTTATGAATGAAGCGTCAATCAGCAAAGCGTGTGAAGTTGCCGCCATGAATGAAGTGATTGCTCACCCGATTTTGCGACGACACCTTGAAGACCTTACCCAGGCTTGTTAAACAACCTACTTGTTGCATAGTGCTCTGCATAGTGCTCTGCTACAGCTGAGCGCAATCGATTCACTGACCGCACGACGCGTCAGGCGGAATTTTGATCGCTGCCCACCTGGGCTCTCAACATTCCAATGTCATCTCCTCCGTGGCCTCGACTCGTCACCAGGGACAATCTTTGCACGCTACCGCTAGTGCAATGAACTCCGCTTCCATGGTGGAAAGTGCTAACTTTTATTTTTCTCAAATGACTTCCCCAGAGGGACATCCCCTCTGGGATAATACAAATCAAGCGGCTAAGCCGCGCGCCGAAATAAATATATATTCATTGCGGGGGACAGAGGCCCCCCGCATGGGCAATACAAGTAATAGGCTGAGGAGCAAGCCCCCCAGCCTGCGCAAAAATATCACAGTGTTTCATCTCCCCAGCACGCATGCTGAGGAGACTACGTTATTACAGTATGCTCCTCCGGGATATCACAGTAGTGTCGTCAGGTAAAAAGGAGGAACGCGCGCAGCAATCGATATATATAAATGACTAAAATCGCGCACATCCACACTCGTCTAAAAAATATAAAATTTGTTATCGCGGCATTCACAGTCAGGGCCCCACAACACGAAAATAAAAGAAAAATAAAAAAGTAGAAGGCTAAAAAAAAAGAAAGAAAGAAGATAGAGGAAAAATATAAATAAGAAAAGAAAAAAGAGAAGAGAAGAAATAACAATACTATTACAACAATAAAAGATACTATGCAGTAAATATACATTAAAAAATAAATAAATAAAACCAGCAGAGGGGGGTCCAACAGTCAAAAAATCATGTAAAAAAATAAAGAATAAAAATAAAACATAGAAAATATAAAATAGTTGGACATTGGGGCCACTCTCTCCTGCTTGGTTTAAAAAAGGGGGGGCCGAGACGAGAACAAAATAAATTACGCGACATCCGCAACATACGACACGCGACGCGCCGCATCCTGTCCGTCGTTATCTTCGGCGGGCCAGCGTCGACGAACCGCTCTCGGCGATGTCGCGAGGGCATCCCCAGAGGGACGGGAAGGAGCCAGGTACTGGCGAACTGCCGGACATATGCTCCACATATATGTCGCGTGACCAGCGAATGGTATCCGAGACGATGAGGCGTCGCATCATCGCTGCGTACTGATTGCCAACCCGCAGCAGTCTCAGCACCGCCTCATTCCTCGGATCCCACGAGCCGAGAGCGCCGACGACGAAAGCCGTCACAACGACACGATACCCCCGCCGCTGTAGCTTCTCTGCCAGGGACGAGTATTTGGCTATTTTCCTCGTCCTGGCGTCCTCGAAAGCGGTTCAGCGGTTTTCAAAGGGCACCGTGACGTCGCAATTGACGACATTTTTGGAGGGCTCGTGCCTGATCATGAGATCAGGTCTCAGCGCCTCCAATTCGCCGCCAACGTCCACCCGCCGATTAACTCGCACTACCCCTGGAAGGCGAGTAGCCCTCCAGAGACGGTGCAGGACAGCGTCGTGCCTCCGCTGTATTGCGGCAGAATGGATACCGCAGTGGCAGAGCACATGAGGTAAGGTCTCCGATACCTCACCGCACCGCCGACAGCGCTTGTCGTTGACCTCCCAACGTCGCGCTCCGTTGAGAGGGAGAATGTCTAGACGGGCCTTATGTATGAAATGTCAGTCGGCGAAGCGTGTGAAGCTGCCGCCACGGATGAAGTGATTGCTCACCCGATTCTGCGACGACACTTTGAAGATCTTACCTAGGCTTGTTAAACAACCTACTTGTTGCATAGTGCTCTGCTACAGCTGAGCGCAATCGATTCACTGACTGCACGCGTCAAGCGGAATCTTGATCGCTGCCCACCTGGGCTCTCAACATTCCAATGTCGTCTCCTCGACTCGTCGCCAGGGACAATCTTTGCACGCTACCGCTAGTACAATGAACTCCGCTTCCATGGTGGAAAGTGCTACTACACTTTGCTTGTGGCTTACCCAGATGACCAATCCTCCGTTAACGAAGAAGGTATAACCACTGTTGGATTTTCTGTCCGCTTTATTCTCTGTTCAATTTGCATCTGAATATCTCCACAGCAACTTGTTCGTTCCTGTCATTCTCGAGTGTCAATTTACTATTTTTTTTTTAATCTTTTTTCTTTTTCCTTCATCTTTTTCTTCTATTTTATAGATTTCATGCAATGAAATATGCAAATTAATAGAAGTAAGTATTTTTTTGCATTAAATCATTTCATCACATTTAATCAATATTTTTATGACCTACTTCTATTGGAATTGCCAATTGGCATTTATTTTTCTGTTTTTTAGTTTCTTTAATTTCTATAGTGGATTGAAATATTGGAGATTCCTTCATTTCTAAAATCTTCTGCAAACAAGGAATAATTCCAATTATAATACATATTTTCAGTACTGGAAGTGAATCTTGAAATAAATGCTTAGTATGATTAATATTTAAAAACAATATTTAATTTAAAATCGATAATTGAATTTAACTTCCGACAATTGTTTCTGTCAGATTCGGTCGTCTTTTGTATAAAAGTTTCATTAGAAATGAAGGAACCTTCAATATTCCAATCCACTATAGAAATTAAAGAAACTAAAAACAGAAAAATAAATTGCCAATTGGCAAGGAGGTCATAAAAATATTAAATATTAAATGATTTAATGCAAAAAAATTTCTATTAATTTGCATATTTCATTGCAGAATACCTATGAAATAGAAGAAAAAGATGGAGGAAAAAGAAAAAAGATTAAAAAAGAAATGGTAAATTGACACTCGGAAATGACAGAAACACAAACGATTGTTATGGGATATTCGGATGCAAATTGGGCAAAAGATAAAGCGGACAGAAAATTCAACAGTGGTTATACCTTCTTCGTTAACGGAGGATTGGTCAGCTGCCGCAAGCAAAGTGTACATTAACGATTATTAAGCGACATGCAGCAAACGGTATGTGAGCCAATATAGATTTACGAAGACAATTGAAGCTTTAAATTTGTGGAAATTGAAAGATTGACAAATCAAAATAAATACATCGATACGAAGGAGGTCAAATTTGTAAGAAATTACGATAATCAAGAAATCGTTGCCTGTAAATACTGCCCAACTGAAAAAATGATTGCTGATCTGTTAACAAAGTCATTGACAGCTCAAAGATTAGAGAAACTTAGGAGTCTAGTTGTTCTAACTCAATAAAATGAGGAAGAGTTGGACAATGTTAGATTAAGCATTTTATTGGTTTAAGTAAAAGATCTTATCAGCATATGATTGTCGGTAATGTAGGTGTAGCGCTGCAGAGTATATGCTTTTCATGGTTCAGTGTATGTTTTTTTATGTATGCACACTTCTGTTTTACTGTATAATAATAAAAACATCTTCGTGTATGTTTCGTGTTATTAGCTAAAATTGATTCATGTGTATTTTATTACATACACTAAAGAACTGCCAATATATATTATATAAAGTTTTTTTAAAATATACTAGAATAACTTTGCCGAATAATCAATAGCCATGATGAATGAATATTTAGAGAGAATGCTCTGAATGTGTCCTAATACTCGTACAATTTCAGGTGTTAAGGCATATCTGTCATCATCTGTACAATATTGATAAAATTAGGTCCATTCAATGCGCTTTTGTACAAAAAATGACCGAATCTGACAGAAACATTCGTCGGAAGTTAAATTCAATTATTGATTTTAAATTAAATATTTTTAAATATTAATATCATTATTAAGCATGTATTTCAAGATTCACTTCCAGTTTTCACTGAAAATCTGTAGTATAATTGGAATTATTCCTTGTTTGCGGAACATTTTAGAAATGAAGGAATCTACCAGAATCTATTGTCGAAACTAGAGGAAATAGAAAAAGAAAAATAAATTGCCAGTTGGCAATTTCAGTGGAAGGAGATCATAAAAATATTGATTAAATGTAAAATGATTTAATGCAAAAAGATACTTATTTCTAATAATTTGTATATTTCATTGCAGGATACGAAATGGAAAAAGAAGAAAGAAAAGAAAAAAAGGATTAGAAAAGAAATGGTAAGATAATAAATTAAAAAAATTGTTCACCCTTTTTATCTATTCTTTTTTGTCATAAGTTTATATTAATAACAATATTATTAATTCATTAACTATACTATTAATAGTATTAATTCATATCCAAGGGGGCACACTCTAGTGGCATAACACACACAATTATAAAAATATTTATACGACTTTTTCAAGAACTTTGTAACTTTTTTTACAACCATATTGCAACTTAAAAGTGCAGGTAGTAACGTCGTTGAAATGTTTATATCAATTAAGTGAGAAACCTATACAACTGATTTCTATTGGAAACTGT